CCGAGCCCGCGCTCGCGCCCGGCCCTCACCACCGCGCTGCGGGAGCTGGGGGACTCTCTGTCCCTCGGCCGCACACGCCTGTCGGTCCTAGCCACACAGACGCTGCGGGGCGAGCGCCGGCCGGCGGAAAGTTAGGGAAGGGAAGGGAAGGGGCTTTTCTCTCCTCTTGCCCCCAGGCTCGGGCCCCAGGGCGCACCTCTCTCTCCCCCCCCCGCCGTTGGTTCAGTCCGAGCCGCGTGCGCCGGGCTTGCCCAGCCTGCCGGGAACCGCGGGGCGGGGCCGGAAGAGGCTGGGGGAAGGCGGGCTGTGTCGCACCGCGAGGCAGCGAGCGGGGAGTCGGGCCTCAGGTGAGTCAGGGGTGCTGGGCAGGCTTTGCCTTGCTGGTGTCGCGCGTGCCTTGTCTCGCGGCCGGGCCAGACCTGCGTCTTTGTCCCACCGGGGCTACTGCTGCTCGGGGTGGGGTTGGCCCCTTTGTGGAGCGGCTTCTGCGAGTGGAGCGGTGTCCAGCCGGGCTGCGCGGCAGCCGGAGGCTGAGCTCGGCTCCTCCGCGGGGAGAGGGCCGGCGGCCGCCCGGCGCGCCGCCTTGGCTGTGACCCCCTTCTCCCCTTCAGGGCTGGGCTTTTGCAGGCTCGGGTACAAGCCCGGGGCTCATTCTGTCCTTGTCCTTTTGGGCTTTCTTGTGCTGTAGAAGCTGAAGCTCATACTTAAGACAAAGTGTCCAAACCATGCTTATGCTGCCCCTCGTGTTACAGAAATAATTTGCCTTTTCCCACGTGGCCACAAAAGTCTGCTCTCTCATGGTCCCGTACCCAGTACTGCGATAGAGTGATGCGTTTATCGCAGGATCTAATAATGTATAATGCACTAAGTGGTCAGATTAGATGATTGAAAGGTTTGTTCCAGCCTTGGTTTCTGGGAAACTGAAACATCGTAACTGCAGCTTTTGGCAGACATACATACAGTTTGCCCCCGAAGGAACAGTGATCATAATAACCTCAGGTGTAGTGTTCCCTGGTTCTGCACCACTGAGTAGACCACACAGGCTGTTTTATCAACAGCAATTTATAAAGTCCTGGGGAGGTGTAGGACAGCAGGATTTGAAGTAGGTCAGACATTTCATATCTGGCTTATTCCCTCCTGATAACATTACTCCCATGACATTGCTGTATCAAGCTAGCCTGGCACTTTGGACAGCAGCGTATGATGGGAAAGGGTGTGGCAAGGGGCAAATCGAGGTCCCCACAGGGAGGGAGGGAGGGAGGAAGGAGCAAGTGCTGCCTAGCCAAACCGGGGACAACCACAAGCGGTTCGTGTGGAGCAGGGGGGCAGCTCCTGCCACTGTCTGCTCACTGGGGGAGGCATGGAGGGCATGTGCACCTTGAGTCTGTGCACAGGGTGAGGGTGGGCTGCTGCTTTGGACTGGGGTGTGGTGTGACACGGCTCTTCCTGGCAGCGGAGTTGAGCCAGGACTGCACTTGGGGCAGGCGGTGGCAGCGCTGGGAGGGAGGTCTTACGGGGTGGGCTGCAGCCACCCCATAATCCGCCATAGCCCTCCTCCCAGTGCCACAGCCTGCCCTCCTCCCAGTGCCACAGCCTGCCCCAAGTGCTTCCCTAGCTCAACCCCCCTTCCAGGAAAAGACCAGTGCATATGCCCAGCTGCATATCAGCAATCGGATTGGTTTCTGCCAATATGGTTCATTAATAATCGGTCATCAGTATTGGCCCAAAAAATTTTAATTGGTGCACCCCAAGAACAAGATTGAGGCACTTGCACCAGCTAACTGATAATGATAAAATCTGGTTCTGAATTATCAAAACAAAGTGTAAAACTGAAGTACAACTAGAAAAATGGTCATGGGGAACCGAAAGTTTGGTTTCTAGAACAGTAGTAGACACATTGTCAAGGTCCTTAAGGAGAGCACAAAGCACGTGGCATCCCTGGACTCCTGCCAGCCAGTCCTTAACCTTTTGGTATATCCGTCTGAGACTCTTAAATATGTTCTTGGCCTTGGGTCCCATTCTTGTGAATGCCTAGCTGAGGAGGAGGAGAAGGAAAAGACTATAATATTGAATATTCCTATTGTTGGAGCTTTCCCCCATCTTTTGTGTCTTGTAACACATACCACATTATGTTACTTAATTGCAAATCAGAGCCCTTATGGGAATTAATCTATGAGCTACTCTAGACAGTAGTGAAAGGAAGTGGAGTGCTGGAGTTTGAGGAGAAAGCTGCAGGAAATTGTGGAATTGTTGCTGTTGGACTGTCTGGGTAAGTTCTAAATTCTCACTACAGAAACAGGGAGGTTAAGGTTTTTGGCAGGGAAGTTACTCTTATACCTGGAAGTTCAACAGAGCTTCCAAAGTGAGGCTGGATTGCCACTCGGAATCAAGCATATATTTGGTATAGAAGACTGGTAGGGATGGGCTTTAAGGTCAGCCTTAACTATCATCATTAGACAGAGCCTTGGAGTGAGATCACAGGTACAGCTTAATCCTGAGTTATAACAGTTGTTAATACTGAACCATAATCTTCTTTTCCAGAAAAACTAAAAAAGGATGCATCATAGACGAAACAGTCTGAATTCTTAATATGGAGGGGAAGAAAATATTAAAGCGTTTGTATGTTGGAGGACTTGGCCTTACAGTCTCTGAGGGTGAACTGCAGGAAAGATTCAGCAAGTTTGGCGAAGTTACAGATGTAGAAATTCTTACAAGGAAAGACGAGCAGGGTAATAATTTCACTTATCCCATAAAGTACAACTATTCTTTACCTCATTTGGTAATGGAAAATATAGCTGCTATTTCAAAACTACTTTTTCTTCAGAAGAATACCTATAGAATGTATGTTTCAATTTAAAACTAAAAAGCGATTTATACAAAAATAACAAAGTGTTTCTAATTATCATTGAGCAGGGAACCCTATGAAAAGTTTTGCTTACATCAACATCAGCATTTCAGAATCAGATCTTAAAAAATGTAAGTACACAAGTTACTTTTGTCCTTAATTTCTGAACAGAAATTGGGTGCTAACCCTGGACTTGGCTCTCTTCTGGCACATTTTCATCCTAGGCATGTTGAAAAACTGCAACTCCTATGTAACGTAAATCTGTAGTGAGACTAAGTTTATGAATAATCAGTGTGATTATACTGTTACTGGGGAAAAAGACTTCTTTTTCTCCCTCATCTGTACCTTTTATTCTGCACTTGTTTCTCTTAGTTCTTTTGGACTTCAGATTTAACTGAAGACAATATATGAAGTAACGGATCTCACTGTTTTATGTTATAGTGCCTGTGCTTTTTTTTTTTTTAAGATCATAATTTGAAGTTCTAAATCTTGAAGATTTCTAAATCTTTCTTTGTTGGTTCATCTCTGACTAACTTACTGGAAGTCAGTACAGGCTTTGAATGTAGAAAATCTTTTTCTTGTCTCTTACTGGCAATATTAGTGCAGTCATAGAATTAGTCTAGAAATGCTGAAGGTAGTCACTAAAATGGCATTATTGAAGCATGCCTTAAATATTTATGCAAGTAGTTAACAGTTGCTTCTTTTCTAATTCTTATTTTCCCAGGTATGTCAATTTTAAATAAAACAAAATGGAAAGGTGGAACACTACAAATTGAACTGGCAAAAGAGAGCTTCTTGCACAGGTAAAGTTAATATACAAGTGTAGGCTATAGCTGGTTCCTTATATTTTGGGATAATATCCACAAGCATACTTTGTTTTACTAGAATTAAGTGCTAGTTAACTAATATCTTTTGAGGAGCTATAACTAGGGACCTACCAAAACCACAATTTTGGGCAGGCGCCACAAAAAAGCATAGGCTTCTAGGGAGGGGGTGGGAGGGGGAACCTTACTGAATATAAAATGCTGGCTCCTCTTTGGTAGCCAGCAGATGCTGTGGTTATTGCAGCCTGACTGGGCAGCCCATCAGGTGGGGAAAGTAGGGAGGCTACTGGCATAGCAAGATGGCTGTTGCCCTCACCCCTCACTGCTGATTGGCAGCAAGTGTTGTTGATCATATGGCCCTGCCCCTTACCACCAATTGGCAGCAAAGGGCAGGGCCGCATGACAGACAGCCCTTGTAACCAATGGGTGATGAGGGGTGGGGGCCACATAACAGCCCTTGCAACCTCGGTGGGGAGGGGCGGGGCCATACGATGGACAGCCATCAGAACCAGTCAGAGGCATGGAGGGGAGGGGGCCCAGCCACACTCCACCCATGAAAATGGCAGCCAGCCCCGCAATTTGCACTTGAGATCACCTGTCAACTGCCTCAAGTTCAGTAGACTTCTATTCATGACTTTTAAAGGTGGCCTGAATAATTTTCTTTAAATTCATAAAATACTGTAGTAGTGACCTTAACAGGTTGTTTTCAGATGATCCTAATTAAGGAGAATTTATTAGTAATGAACTCAAGGCTGGATGTTGCTTTCACATTGTATGCACATATAGTCTTCTAAAAAGATTTTAATAGCATGGCTACTTTTATGTAGCCCTTGAATTTTGCCCATTTTGCACTTGTCTCCAATGCATCTTTTGCTTTATGTCATCTGTTGCATTGTCATTCTTCTATTTTAGCTTTTATTGAAATTAATGAGGCTGCTATCTTTGGTAGTACAGCAGGTGCAATAAGTTTGTTGTTCTTTTAATAAATTAGTTGGGTGAATTTTTGCCCCTTTATTTGTGTTTTCAGGGAGTGAGGGACATGGGGGTTCTAGTTCCTGTTAAGTGTTTTTGACAAGCTACCCATGAATGAAAATTTGGAGACATCCACTGCTAATTATGATTTTACAGAAGTAGCCAGCTTTTGTGTTTTCCTTCTGTGTTGTAGTGAGATTAAACCATGTACTTTGATACAGATTGGCACAGGAAAGAGAAGCAGCAAAGCTGAAGAAAGAACAGCCTCATGTAGATAGCAAAACAAATCTAATGGAATCGCTGAAGAAAGCTGGAGTTGTAGATTTTCACATGAAAGCAGTGCCAGGAACAGAAGTACCAGATCATAAGGTATGGTAAGGTATCTCTTCTCGTGATTTAAGTCAACTAGAACAGGCAAAGTATTACTTAGCTTTATCATGGTCTCACCATTTTGGGGGGGGATTATACACAGAAATATGAGAATCTTATATTTAAGTTGCTACCTTTTATTTCTAAAGGAAATGAATGAAGTTATCCAGTGTAAAAAAAAAAAAAAAAAAAAAAAGAAGTTAC